GCGGGGGCCGGCCGGGCGCGGTCCTAAGGCCCGGGCACCTGCCGGAGGCCAGGCGCTTGGCCCCGAGGGGCGAACCAGGGCAGCGGCTCTGCAGCCCTCCAGCCTCCTCTCCTGGGCGCCTCGCTCTCCTTTCTGGACCGAGGGGTCTGAGTGACCGTGGCCCCCCGGAGAGCCAGGCCCCGGCCTGGGGGCGTCAGCGGCAGGCTGACCTGGAACTGCTGCCCTGGCCACCGCCTTGCGCCAGGTAAACAGGCGGCGCGGGTTAAGCTTGGCCCGGGAGGTCTCCGTGGTCACTCGGGCACAGCTGAGGACGGACTGGGGAGGGGGCGTGTAAAACACTGCCTGCCTAGGCCAAGGGACTGCTTTGGGCTACTCAGATCTGGGACGCTCCACCTTGAGGGTTTCAGCACGTCTCTTCCACGCTGGGCCTCAGTTTCTCCACGTGAGAATTGAGAGTTTAGATGAACTCCCTACAGACCCTCATGCTGTGAATATCTGACATTGCAAGGTCTGTCTGTGCCTCGTTCAACATGCGGGGCAGTTTTACTGAAGACATTTTCCCCCCTTCCAGATGTAGACTTTTTAACCACTTCGTGCACTTCGTCTCAGGGAGATTGAAAATGATTCCCAGAAGCGTTTTCTTGGAAATAGCTTTACTGACCCTTCGTCGTCCCTTGCTGTCGTCCACAGATTTCCTGTGGAGAGTTTTGCATGCAAGCATTTTGCCGTTTGTATTTGCTCATTTTCTCTTTGTTCCTTAGTCGAGGCTGTTTTTGCTTCACATCTGGATTATTGCAACAGCTTCTTAGCTGGTCTCTGACTCCAGAGGTTTCACCCTCCCCCATCCTTCCTTTATGCTAACGCCAAACTTAGTATAGGAAGTAAAAAAATAGTTGACTGCTTGCTTGCTTAGTAAATGTCAAAATGCTGTGAGTGGTGGACAAAAGGAGTCGAAAGCAGCCCAATCCCCACCCAGGCTTTACACTGGATGTTCAGACATTGCCTGTGGAAAGGTAATGTCCATGAGACAAGATTGTGTGCTGTAGAGAGGTATAGGTCACTAGGGGCGGCGGTGGGGCTTAGCGAGGAGGTGGTACTTGAACTGGGTGGTAAAGGAAGAGCAGGATTCATATTGGGGGCAAAAAAAAAGATCCTATGGAATTAGTGACTAGACCAGCCCTCTGGCTGAGGGCTGAGATGGGAAAGGAGTAAGAGGAGAGATTGATTAGGCTCGGTTCCTGAAAGATCTTGTACACTAGGCCAAAGTTAAAACTATTCTAGAAGCAGGCGTATTCCAGCAACGTGTGTGTGTGTGTGTGTGTGTGTGTGTGTGTGTGTGTTTTGCAGGAGGTGGAAGAAAGGCTAGAGGCTATGAGTTGAGCTAGGGTGCCATGGCAGTTAGACCACTGTTCAAAGATGAATAGTATCCTGCCCGTTTGTGGTGTCCAGCCTTTGCTGCTCCCCCCATCCCCGTTCAAGGGTCTTTCAGGTTTGGCTTTACCCTCACCTAAACCTCACTTTTTCCTGGCCTCTGCTTCTCCAAGTTTGCCCAGGTTTTGACCCTCTAGGGCTGTTGGTCCAGCCCTCTGAGCACATTCTCCATTTCACTTCCTTCAAGCCCCTGCTGAAGATATACTTCCTCCAAAGGGTGTTCCCTCACCGCCCTACCCCCATGCCTTTGTGGCACTGGGACTCTGCAGCAAGCTTCCTTGGTTGTTGAGCTTGTCCTGGCCCGGCTGGAGCAGGAGTTTTGTTTGAAGACCCAGCCTGTTAATACTTCTTTCAGACTCTTCTGCTACCTGATGCTGGAACTGGAATTTTGATAATAGGTCCTCAAATAGTTCTTGATTTTTGTTGGTAAACAACTTTTTTTTTCTTAAAGGAGAAGCTGTTTAGTTATTAGCTTTCTCTGTCGTCTGTAACTACTGGTGTTTAATGCTGCAATTCCAGGTGGATGTTTTCAATTTTATTCTCACATACAAAAAGCACAGAAAAAAATTCTGTGAAACGTTAGTATTTATTTCTGATCCCAGGGAAAGAAAAAAAAAAGTGTAATTCTTGAGTCTAAGGCTGTAGGGGGAGAAAGTCAGGTCTGGGATCAGGTCTGGATTTGAGTCTCAGCACAGACACTCAATAGCTATGTGAAGCTGAGTGGTTGATCACATTCTCTGAGCCTGCCTTGTCTTTCGTTCTTTTCTTGGTTGGTGCTGAAGAGTTAGCCCAGGGCCTGGCACATGCTAGGCAAATGCTCTACCCTTGAGTTACATCCCCAGCTTGAGCCTGCCTTTTCTTGTAATGTGTAATAACATCTGCGTTGTGGCATTGTTACAGGTGTGTGTGTGTGTGTGTGTGTGTGTGTGTGTGTGTGCGCGCGCGCGCGCACATGCACTAGTGCTGGAGTCCAGGGTTGAGGATCCTTTTCCACTGCTCTCTCCCATCTCCACTTTATTCTTTTGAGACAGGGTCTCTCATTGTATCTAGAGCTCACGAGCTCACTATTCAGCCAGACTGGTTGGTCCTCGCCGTCCAGTGCTGGGGTTACAGAGCATGAGCCTCTGTGTGGCATTTTACATGGGCACTGAGAGTTCAGACTCAGGCCCTCATGCTTGCATGGTAAGCACCTTACGAACCAAGCCCTCTCCACAGCCTCTGTGGATTTTTAATGAAGATGGCACACAAAGGAGGCGGCAGAGCTTCGGAACTGCTGAAGACATTTTATATGATTAGGTGTGGTGTTTCAGAGTGGAGGGAAGATGGGCTGCCAAGCTCTGTCTGGCCAATACACATGTCTCTGTTCTGTCTTCCAGATGAAGCAAGAATGTCAAGTATTGTGACCCTAGAGTCCCGTCATATATATTTCCACTAATTTTCATGTTACTTTAGTTGAAATTCTGTTTCATGCTTCCAAACTTCTTAATTGTGTCCATTTAATGTTTTGTAGCTGACAAACTGCTGCATTTAGCTTAGTGAAGGTCACCAGCTGAGCGCAGTTAAGCTTCTAATGGTTATTTTCTGTTGATGTTGCTGGCATGGAAAGCACCCTGGAAGAATGCAGTTCAAGGTGAGCCTTTCTAATTCATTTGTTCTAAGAGGTGGAACGTGTGTGGTTTCTAGATCTCCTGAAAAGCCAGCCATGAGTAAATAAGCTGCTGGCCTTAATTCATATCGAGGTCTTGCCTTAAGAACGCTTACTCCTCTGCCGGAAACAGCTTATGATTCAAATGTGAGACATCTAGCCAGGAACAGTGGTGCAAAACTCTGGTACTTAATGGGGAAGCTGAGACAGGAGGATCGCTCATCCCAGGAGTTTGAGTGCAAAACATAGCAAGACTCTTATCTTTAGAAAAAAAGCAAAGATTTTGAAACGCTTTTGGGGCCCACTTTCCTGACAGAATGAAAACAAAGAGCATTTCACAGTCAGATTTGAAAACCATTTGAAGTGTTGGAGCAGTCTGACATATGGCCCTCACCGCCATGTCAGACCAGCTGACTCGGTGTGTGCAGGACATGGTGAATGGAATTTGTCTTGCCACTTGAAGTTGGTCATGAGGATTAGCACCAAGAAAAGCTACACATCTCACCAGGATGCCTGAGTTAAAGTCCTCTTCCTTCTGATAGGTCTATACTTTTGCTCTGGAGACTGACAGATTGTGGGTTCAGTTCCTGGCTGGGTCAGTCCTTAGCTGAGTGACCCAGAAAAGTCTCTTGGAGGGTGTCTCCTCATCTGTACAGTGGGGATAGTTGCAACATCTGTGTCTGTTGCCAGGAAGAGCTTCCTCTGCACAGTGTCCACAGCAGGAGCTAAGAGCCGCCAGTTCTTTCTCACTGTTGCTGGTGAGGGTGAAGCGGCCATTCCTTTCCTACTTGGAAAGCTCAGAAGCAGCTTCCAATGTTTTGCATTGACTAAGACAAATCACACCCTCCCCAAATTAGTGTATCTGGGCAGACCTGGAGAGTGTTAGCGCCTCGCTCAGAAATGTAACAGTTCGGATAAAAATGTTCTCTCACATGAATTAATGCAGTAAGAACTCTAAACTTGTTTTCCTTTAAATTAGGAAGCGCCCTTCATGAATATCCATCACAGAATGCCATTTCCTCCCTGTTTTTTTCCCCTTGCCTCGAGTTTCATCAGCATCACAATGCTTCCTGCAGCCCTGCTGCTCCTCGGGCTGCTGCAAGACTGGGTTTGGAATCACAAGCATCTTGACTGAGAATAATGGTCCTTTCTAGTACCTCAGGCGCTTCCCAATTTGTCACTTTCCTGTCTTTTCTTAGAAGTGTATGTAACTGGGCATTTTTAAAGGAAGTGTAGCATCTCGTGAAGCTGCAGTGTTTCCAGGTGAGATGGGAGTCAGCCACCTTGCAGATTTTGCCTCCTGTCTGTCTGTCCTGCACCTCCAGGGTCTTCAGTGGGACATTTTAAGTGCTGGCAGTCCAGAGGTCTTCAGTTACTTGCTTGGTTTAGGGCGCATCAACTGACCCACGCTGAGAGAGAGCCTCTTGTGAGGTCCCCGCCTAAGAGCTTATCTGGGTGTGAGACAGCTCCCATTGCGTGGCCTGTGCTTTTGCTCTGGTTGTCATGGGGAGATCATTCTGAGGCTTTACCCATGATCACTGGGGAGGGGACTTTAGGTCCACGTGTGTTGTTTTGTCCAGGTGACATTTAGGAATCCCTTGTGTGTGGGCTCTCTGTGACACAGGTTGTAGTGTACAAGGATGTTAGCAGTTTTTGTGTTCCTTTTCCTCACATGTAGTGTTAGGTAGGTGTGGTGCTGATTTTACTGTCCATCCTGGTCAGCAGAAGTGAGGTTTCGGAGAGCATCAGGCTTGTTGACTCTGAGCTGCTGCTGCTGCTGCTCTGTCAAAGGGTCTCTTTCCTGAGGAGCTAGTGCATTCTTTGGTTCCCAACTCTTCTATATTTATTTATCTATTTATTTACTTGCTTGCTTACTTACTTATTTATTTATGGCTCTATAGTGCTATGTCCTCTAGTTTTTTTTTTTTTTTTTTTTTTTTTTTTTTTTTTGGTTTTTCGAGACAGGGTTTCTCTGCGTAGTTTTGCGCCTTTCCTGGAGCTCACTTGGTAGCCCAGGCTGGCCTCGAACTCACAGTGATCCGCCTGGCTCTGCCTCCCGAGTGCTGGGATTAAAGGCGTGCGCCACCACCGCCCGGCGTCCTCTAGTTTTTAAAGTGTTGGTCCCCACTAGTCTCTCCCACTCCCACACCATACTTCCACTGGACAGCCTAAGCTCAGCTTGCCCTTTCTAGACTCTCTTGTGTCCCAGAGTGGATGCCAGCCCACACCCCAAGTCCTTGTGAATTCTCTGGACTCACATTCACTGTGGCTGACGTGGGATCCCATTTCCTTCTCTAGCCCCATGTTCAAGTCTCTGCACATGATATTCCTGCTGTGCTCCTTGTGTCGGAACTGTGGCCACTCATACTTTGCATTTGCTAGTCAGGTAGCTGAGTTAAATCCCTAAACCCTTAATGGGTCCACATAATCTGTGTGTGTGTGTGTTTTTTAAACATTGGCCACAATTTGAAAAAAAAAGTCCCAGAAACCACATAGCCTAGAAAGATGGAAAACAATAAGGAAAAGGTGTGTCTCAAATGCATAAGCATGTGTACACTATTCTGTCATTTGTTACCACAAAGCTACAGTAAGAAAGTTTATCAACATGTGTGTGTGCATAAATGTGATCTAAGTATTAGGAAAATGTAAACAAAGATGCAGTATTATCTCTGGAGTCAGAGACAGGAGGATTGCTACAAATGGTGAGTTCCAGGTGAGCAGTCTCCAGTCTTAGATGGAAGCTGCCTCCTGCTGCTCTGCCATGCTCACCAGCTCCAGTAATACCTGTAACATCGGACTGTGTGTCAGTTGACTGTTACTGATGAGACTTTTTGTCAATAGCAGGCTATTAGTGGTTAAGTTTTTGGAGAATCAAAAGTTACTCATGGGTATCATTAGCACCTTAACCCTATGTATGTTGTTGAAGAGAGCTGTAAAGCTGGGCATGATGGTGTGCACCTGTAATCCCAGTATTTGGGAGGCAGAGGTAGGAGGGTTGCCTTGAGTTTGGGGCCAGCCTGGGCTATAGAGTAAGACCCTGTTTCAAAACATGCAAGCAAACAAAGAACAAAATGAGTCAACTGTAGATTCTTTTGAGAAATGAGCATGGGAAAAAATCATGTGTGTAGATTGTTCTAGACTTGGCTATTTTAAGTGCATCATAGAGCTTCCATAGTGAAGCATACACAGTATATCTATCTGTTCATTTTAATAACTGCATTGTATTTTATTATAGATTTGGAATTTTTTGTTCGTTTTGGACAGAGCTTCTCATTGTTGCCTAGGCTTCCTTCAAACTCCAGGGCCCAAGTGGCTGTTCTGCCTCAACCTCCCCAGTAGCTTGGGCTTTATGTGCATACCACTGCACCCTGCTTTTTCTTAACCAGTCTTCTTTTGTGGTTATTTCTCTTTTCTGGTTGCAGCAGGAGGTTAAAAAAAAAAAAGAAAAGGCACAGTAGAAGCCTTGTTACACACACACACACACACACACACACACACACACATACACATATATATGCACACACACATTTCTACAACATACATGTACACACACTTCTGCAAGCACTGTATCTGTATTCTAATTTTTTTTAAAGATTTATTTGTTTATTAATGTATGCAGTGTTATGCCTGAATGTATGCTTGCACACCAGAAAAGGGCATCAGATCTCATTATAGATGGCTGTGAGCCACCATGTGGGTGCTGGGAACTGAACTCGGGACCTCTGGAAGAGCAGCCAATGCCCTTACCTCTGAGCCATCTCTCCAGTCCCTAAATTCCTTTTTAAAATAATTTTTATTGCATTCATTTATGTGTGGGTACACATGCATGTCACTGCACATGTGGGGGACAACACGTCTAAGCACAACTTGCAGGAGTCATTTCTTCCTTCTACGGGTCATCAGGTTTGGTGGCAGGGGCCTTTACCTGCTGAGCTATCTCTCTGGCCCCTAGACCCAGTTTTTAGCAGTTGCTTTAGACCAAAAGCCTTTTATGTGCAGATAAATACCACCAAGTTATCCCTCAGGATTACATTGGTCAGCACCTAAAAGCTTACTTACATCTAATGGCTTGGATTGTGGTATGCCTCAGTGGTAGAGCAATTGCCTACCGCATGCAAGGTCCTGGGTTCAATCCCCAGTACTGTCCCCTACCAAAAGTATAATTTTGTTCTTTTTGTAATTCAAATGTCTTTATAATCATGAATAAAGTTAAAACATGTTTTTGTCTTTTCTAGATCTTTTTCTTTTTAGCTGTCAGTATCCTCTGCCAGTTCTTTGGGAAACATTTTTGTGTCAGTCCAATTTGATTAACAAAGAATTTAGAACTAGCCCAGTATCAAATCTGTATGCATTTCCCTTCAATCTGCCATTTACCTGTGGCCTTTTAGAGAGAAAAGTGTGTTTTTCATCATATATTTTTATGTAGTTCTGTACATTTGTCTATCTGTGCCTTTGTGGCTTCTGGAATTGATGTCATGCCTGGAAGAGCTGTTAAGCCAATGTGTATGAATTCACCTAGCTCTTTTTTAGTTATTTTTTGGTAATACACAAGTCTTTAAAATACTATTGTAAGAATATTGATGGTATTCAGGGGAAAGCCAAACTGAACATTGCTTACTCGTTTTTTAGGACACTAGCAAGCAGGCAGCCGCTTTGAAGGCTGCAGGAGCTGGGTTCTGTATTGGCCAGACCTTTCATTTCCTCCTGCCCTACAGTGACATCCCCTGAAGAGTGTCATTGCCTTTTGTGCCTTCTTTGTTCACACCCAAGGGAAGAAATGGGCTGGTCACTGATGTCCCTTCTTAGCTCAGTGTTTCTGTTAGTTTCTGCCCAGTCTCTTCTTCTAGAGCTCCCTCAGTTAAAAAACATCACTGTGCGGGGAAGCCTTGGAGCTGAGTTTAGGGGATCAGGTCATCTTGCATTTCACAGCAGCTCCTTGTGTGGCATCCACAGTGCAGTGGTGTGTCTGGGCTTTTTCTGGTGGG